CACGGTACGCCCAAGAAGGCTCCAACCAGGGGCACAGCAAGAACACCAAACACCACAGCTCCAGCCCCCTGCCCTCAGGAGAGCCTCTGACACCCGGGAGCCGCCACAGTGCTCTTGAGGCCTTGCCCTGGGCACCCTTCGGGGGAGCCCGGAGCGGGTGCACAACTGCAGCTCCTCCCCTGCATTCCTCGCCCACATCCCAGGGCACTGCACCAACGCCTGGACCCCCTCGGCATGTCCCGGTGATATCCATTCGGCGAGCACACTCCAATAATAGCCAAGCGCGCTCCCCAATTACCCACCCCCAGATTCGGCAACACAGCCCTCCACGACTACTCCAGTATATTTCAGTAACACCCCCACACATCCCAGTACGCTCCAATAATAACTCCCCCCACTCTGATCTCAGTGTATTCCCACAACATACCCCCTGCACACATCCTGGCACACGCCAGGAATCCCTTGCTGTGCTGTGCTCCTGCTGAATTTCAGTGCCGCCCCCCACAGGCACCTCTGTATTCTCCCACGACCCCTGCGACTCCCATTGTAACACCCATACACCGGAACCCCAGGGACAGCTCTTGGCCCACGCCTTCACTGGCTCCCCACCCCATCCTGTCCTCAAGCCTTCCAGGCCACACATCCGCTGCACGGTGGACACAAACCTGCCCCAGCCACTGCTCTCGCCCGGGTTCATCCTGGTCCCCCCACAAACACATCCACCATGCATGCCTGCCCTGTCTTCCTTCCCCTGAGCTTAAAGCAGCCCAGGAGCCAGGACCTTGGTAGCTGGGGAGAGCAGGTGGTAGGAGAGGACAGACGGGCTCTGTGGTGAATGGAGGAGGAGGCTGGGTCCAAGGTCACAGCGGTTGCTCTTGAGCGAGGATTCGTGACACCCTCATCCCCACTTGTGTCTCGGCCACAAACACTGATGGCCTTGCCCAAGCCCTCCTGCCCTGCTGCTCCCAGGGCCTCCCCAGCTCTCCAGGGCCCAGCAGCGACCCCATCTGCCCAGCAGCAGTCCCGCTTTCACTCCTTTCGCTCTGGCCTTGCGTCCCTGCCTCCTCCACCACCCCCACATCATCCTCACACCCCCCCCCTTGGGCCCTGTTCCCCAGTGCTCCCTGCCCAATGGAGTCAGTGAAAGCCCACGTCTGTGACCAGGTAGCATCCGAGCCCTTCATGGGCCGGTTGCAGCTCAGTGGCAGGGGACTTACCCAGCCTGGGGAGGCCCTGGGGTCGAACCCCAGCACCCAAAACAATCAAAAAACATTTTATAGGTAAAGCTGCAAAACTTTAAAGTACGAGCTCCACTTTAAAGGAAGAATCCACCACCCCCACATCATCCTCACACCCCCCCCCTTGGGCCCTGTTCCCCAGTGCTCCCTGCCCAATGGAGTCAGTGAAAGCCCACGTCTGTGACCAGGTAGCATCCGAGCCCTTCATGGGCCGGTTGCAGCTCAGTGGCAGGGGACTTACCCAGCCTGGGGAGGCCCTGGGGTCGAACCCCAGCACCCAAAACAATCAAAAAACATTTTATAGGTAAAGCTGCAAAACTTTAAAGTACGAGCTCCACTTTCCAAAGTAAGAAACAGAGGCACAGAAAGTTTAAAGAACTTGCCTGAGGTCACACAGTAATATGCTTCAAGAATATTCAAAACGCTCCTGGTGACCGCTGTGGTAATGCCCTCCACTCCACAGCAAGGCCCCCGGAGGACACACTCGTCCAGCACCCGCCCGCCTCCCTCTCATTATGCGGATCACACAAGTAACACCCTTGAGCCGCTGCTGACAGCAGTGCGATTCAAGCCCTTCACCTGCGGGGGTGGGGTGGGTTGCTGGTATCGCTCCCATTTAATACACGAGCAAACTGAGTCGGAGAGCTTGCTCAGGATCACACCAGCCAGACAACACCAGAGCCATCGTCCGAGGTCCCCACAAGCCATGTTCCCCGCTAGCCCGCTTACCCCAGTGTCCCAACACCTCAGATCCCCACAGCACCCCTCTGCCCCTCAACTCCTACCCAGCACCCTGTGCAGCGCCTCTCTCTTCCCGGACAGCCTCAGTCAGTCCCCAGCTAGAGGAGTCCCCCAGCTTCTCGACTGCTCTCAGGCCCCAGCGCTGTCCCCTTTTCCCGCCGCCTCAGTGAGTCCCTCCATGGCACGTGGCAGCTCCACACCACCCGCCCCGCCCCTCGTGGGGTCCCCTCCAGGGCCCGACACACCCACACCCCTGGCCCAGGGTCCTGTCTGCAGACCTCCTCGCCCCCCCTCCGGCCTCCTTCACCCCCCCACAC